ATGTGCGCGGCGCTAAAGCGATAACCACATTTCCAACATTACCCGCCCTCCATCCTTGAAGCTGTTCTAGATTTCAAGCTTCAGGACAATCGATTGTGAAGAAATCTCAGGCTAAACGCCAGGCCCGCCCTACCGACACGACTGGATGCACGACAGGGAAGAGGCAATCACAAGGGAAAGGGATGGAGGAGCAGGAGGAGGAGGAGGAGGGGGGGCGACCAGGAGGACCGAGAAGACGAGGAGGAGGGTAAGGAGGGGGAGGCCCAGAGTAAGCCCAACACGTATCAATGATGTTGCACTGAAGCATTCCTCCGAGCTCCCTCTTAATAAGCTCTACAAGATATCTCATCCTTGCGGGAAATGTCCCACTGAAAGGCAGGCGCATGAGAATCCGCACGTGCCAGAACGCCGCTTTGGGGACTTCAACGTCGCGACTCATTGTGAAGGCTGCGTCGCGACAACCCTCGATCTTGCCAAAACGCACTTCCTGGAATTTCAACGCCGCGAACCAGCATGCTTTTTGCATCCTGGCATACCTAGACCGTGCCAGAACATGATTGCTGGGACTGCCGCACCACGAATCAACGTGACTGTTGCGTCCTGACTTGCTAAATCTTGACAACACACTTGTGCTGGGACTTCAACCATGCAGATCCTTGAAACTGCTGGAATCTGTCCAGGCGAATGCGCGCGGCGCTAATGCGAGAGCCACATTATGATCAAGCGCCGCCCTTCATCTTTGAAACTGCTGTAAACGTTTCAATCGAAAGTGCGCGGTGCTAAGACAAGAGCAACATGTTGAAAACCAGACGCCTGTCATCCTTGAAGCTGTCTTTTCGCTCAAATAGAAAACTGTGCGCGGCGATGAAGCGAGAACCACATTTTCAAAACGGCCCGCCTTCCATCCGTGAAGCTGTTGCACAGATCAAGTTTCAGGATCATAAGTGGTGAAGAAGTTTCGACCGAAACGCCTGCCAGTCTTACCAACACGTCTCGAGTAAATCAGGGAAGATCAATGTGCGAGTTAAAATGATGCAGCTGGACGGATATGAGTCCGAATCGGAGCAGGAGAAAGAAGAGGACGATTGCAAGCACAAGACTCACCAACGATATTGCAATAAGCTCTCCCTCCAATGCCCCTCGACATAGGCCCTTACAAATATTCGTTTTAACTGAAGGATGTGCCCCGTTGGAAGACAACCATTTGAAACTCCGTAGCTGTGCCATAACACCGTCCCTGGGACATCGACACCGCGCATCAACGTGACTGGTGTGCCCTGGTGCTCTGACACTGTGCCAAAGCACCTCTTCTGGGACTTTGACCATGCGAATCCTCGAAAGTGCTGCAAACTCTCAAAGCGAATGCGCGCGGCGCTGAGGCGAGAGTCAACATCTAAAAAAAGAGCCGCCCTCCATCCTCGAAGCTCTCGTATTTTCCTGTTGAAGCGAACGTGCGCGGCGCTGCGGCGAGAGCCACATCTTTTGGGAACGGGCCGCCCTCCGTCCGTGAAGCTCTTGCACCTCTGCAGACGAGGGTGCGCGGCGCGACGGCGAGAGACAACTCTTGAAAAGGAGCCGCCCTTCATCCGTGAAGCTCTTGCGACCATTCAAAGCGAAGGTGCGCGGCGCTGGGGCGAGAGCCACATTTTGAAAGCGGGCCGCCCTCGATCCGCAAAACCCTTGCATTTCATTTAGAGGAATGCGCGCGGAGCTGAAGCGAGCACCACATAATGAAAACGGACCGCTCTCCATCCGTGAAGCTCTTGCACACGTCAAGCTTCAGGATCATAAATGGTGAGGAAACCTCAGGCGAAACGAACAGATCGCCTTTTCAACCGGCCTCGGGGTACGACATGGATATGTTTCTTGGGAAGAGGGATGAAAGAAGAGGATGGAGGAGGGGAGGAGGAGGAGGAGAAGGGGAAAGTGGAAAGGGGAGGGGGAAGCGGGAGGAGGAGGAGGAGGAGGAGCAGAAAGAGGAAGAGGTGCTCCCCTGCATGATTGATCGAGAGGAGCCGGAGGATGAACAGGGGCAGGAGAAGGACGAAGACAGTCGATGACGATCGAAGACGGCCTCCGGCGCCCTTTCTTGGCCGCCTCGCCATGGTCTGCCACTCGCCCTCGCCGTCCTCCTCCTCGGCCCCGCAATCGCCTGGGCCTCCTCCTCCTGCTCCTCCTTGTCCTCGCACTCATCCGCCGCATCCTGGTCCTCCACCTCCTCCGTTTTTGCAAGAGCTACAAGGCTACGAGGATGGAGGGCGCTATTTTCTCCAAATGAAGCTCTCGGCTTGGCGCCGCACATATTCATCCCAACCCATGGCAGCATTTGCAAGGATGGATGGGGGGCCATCTTCAAAATGGAGCTGTCGCCTGTGAGCCGCCCCCACATTTGTCTCAAACGGTGGCAGCAGTTTCAAGGAGGGAGGGCGCTTCCTGTTCAAAGATTTGGCTCTCGACTGAGACTTCCTGGAACTGACAGGCCAGAAGCTCCATGGGCTACGCGGCAGCAGGGAGCGCACTCAGCGTGCACACTTGCGCGCGTGCTCCCACAGCCAGTTCCTGCTCAGGTCGTTGTGGCGTGGGCTGGCGTGAATCTTACTCCGGATTCCATAATAAAGTCGGGGGGGTCACATTTGGGGGGGGTGAGCTGTCTTGGAGGGTTCGGGGGGGGTCTGGGCAAAGGGCCGCCCTTTCCTGGATGGTCTGGGAGGGTCTAAAACTTTTGGTCTTGGAGGGTCCAGACCCCCTGCCTTTTATTACGAAATCTGGAGTACTGAGATTGCCTTCGGGTCTCCAGGTCAGCCGTGGCGGGGCCGTGGCCGGGGATGGATCACGACGTCGATGATCTGGCCCGCGCCTCGTGGTCGGCGGGCGAGACGTCGTGGAAGCCGACGGCTTCGACTTCCACGGCGCGGCGCGGGGCAAGATCACCTCCGGGGTCATACAGTCATCGGCCTGACCTAAGGAACGATAAATGAGGAACGAAGCCCCTTTTTAATCCCAAGGAATAGCGCATAAGGAACGATAAATAACAATTAACGCATAAGGAACTGTAAATAACGCATGCAAGCCTAAGGAACGAACGAGCCCCTTTTGAAAAGTAAGCGTTCCTTATTCAAGCCGCTCACTGTAGATTCTGGGCCGCGACCTCGCGAGTGCGAAGCTTCCGAGGTAGGTGTCGAAGACGACTTCTGCTCCTGGTGGGCCTTCGAGTCGGGCGAGGAGGAGCCGGGGCTCTTCAAGACGAACGCGGGCAGGCGCGAGAAGGGGAGGAGATCGCTGGCCAGTGCATCACTGCAGTACTGCGCTGGCGTGTGGTTGGGTCTGGTTGCGTCCTCGACCCAGCACCTGCGGCCTGGCTGGGGCGCGGGCTCTGAAAGATCGCCGAGGAGCGGACCGCCACAGCGCTCGCGCGTGCGACGCTCCCGCCTTTGCCTCCACCGCGGTCGCCGCCGCCTGCTGTAGGTGCTGGAGGCGGGGCCGATGGCGCTTTGCGCCCGCGGCTGGTTGACGGGGACCGTCAAGGTTCGAAGAAACTGACGGGCGCCAACCCCAAACCGAGGATAGGCCGGTACGTCGAAAATTGAAGGTAAAATCCTGCCTGCCACAGGCGCCAGCTGAAGCGGACAAGTCGCGCCCCCCCTGCGCAGAGCAGCAGCTAGCGGGCACCACGGGGACCGCCAGGAAGGACGGGGTTCACGAGAAGCAGAAGGACGAGGAGGAAGAGGCCTGGCTGGCGAGCAGGCAGAATTGAGGAGGAGCGTCGAGCATGAGAGGGCCGACAGGGCGCAGAGAGGCGGAGAGGAGGAGCACCGCAGGAGCCGTACGAGGCCACGAGAGGACGAGCGTGAGAGAGGCCGGAGGCACTGGTCACCATCGCCGGAACGAGGCTCGGGGCGAGGCGCCCCCCACAGCACAACAGGGAAGGGCTGGACCGGGCCGTGATCACAAGGCCGAGCGGAGGGCTGCGTCTGAGCCCCGGCGTCGCTCTCGTTCACGGGCGCGGCGCCGCGCTGGGCCTCGTTCGTGGTCGGCTTTTGGCGGCGCCTCGTCGCCCACGAGCCGGAGCTCCCAGGACTGGCTCGTGTCCTGGGCGCAGCTAGGGGCTGACATGCGAACCCTACCCCTACCCCCCACGATTTCTGAGGGAGAGGGTGGGGTTCACTTCGTTCGGGAGCTCCCGAGCGAAGTGAACCCCACCCTCCCCCATCAGAAATCATGGGGGGTAGGGACCGGGTAGGGTTCGCATGTGGCCCCCGAGCAGCGGCACTCAGGAGAGCTCGCCGCACGTCTTCCCCAACAGGTGGAGCTGTTGCGTCCGCGTGCTTCGTGCAGCGCACGCGTCCGGAGGGCGTGCGCAGCCTCCGCGACGTGGCCACTGTGTGCCAACAGCTTGGACCATGCGGCGAAGAAGCGGCACGAGATCGCGGCGGACGTCGCGGGCCAGAGGCTCAAGGCGGTCGAGGCGGCGATCGTGGACAGCAACTGGGACCGCGATGAGTTTCTCGAGCTGGTCGAGCAGGATGGCCCTCTCCCGGCGGAGCCGCTGGAGCGGCGCAGCGGCACGCGCCTCCCCAGGAGCTGGCCTGCGAGCAGAGGCTGGCCGGGGAGGGCAGCTGGCTGCCCCCCGGCCCAGGCTGGAGCGCCGCAGGCGCAGGCTGCGGCGGCAGCAACGGAGGGTGCGGCGTATTCGAGATACCGATATATGTGTGTCATTTAACACCGTTGTTCTAGAAATGGGTGAAGGATTGTCAGGCGGTTTGCAAGCAATGCTACAACTGCAGACAACGTGGCGCTTCTCCAGCAAAAATAATACGATGATGATCGAAGTAACTGAAACATTGTGTTGGAAACAAGAAAGGGGACGACAAGGGCAAGGCGAACGGGAAGGGCGGGCAGCAAGGGCCAGCCGGGCAGATGGAGCCGACCCCCTCTTTCTAGGGGGTTGAAGCGAGGGCAGGAGGCAGAGGGCCGTGGCGGGCAGGCACGGCTTCGGGGGGCGGCTGCCGCCCCCCCCCCCCTGGTCGGGGCGGCCCTTCCTTCGGGTCGCTGGCGGGCCAGCCGGGCGGCGGCGTGAGCAACTGCCAGGAGAACGATGGCGTTTACGAGGACGGCCAGGAGACGGAGGAGGTCAAGGAGGCGCACCATGAGGAGGACTACCTTTACGAGGACGGCCAGGGGACGGAGGAGGTCAGCGAGGGGTCCAGGAGGAGCACTACGACTGCGAGGACGGTCAGGAGATCGCGCGGGATGTGGCGCGCTGTCGCTCGCGCGCCTACACTCCTCGCACCCCTATTGCAGCCGATGCAGCCAGTCGATCGGGTGGCGTCCTTCTCCCAGAGGGCGTGGATGCCTGGTGGCCTCGCTGGACGGCACCTCCACTTGGACCCCGTCTAGGTTTTCGACACTACCTACCCTCGTAAGTATTGGGCGTTCGGTCAAGGTCGCAGTGCTGAGGGCGCTGCCTGGCATCAGGCAGCACAGGTCGAGGTCGCCCACCACGAAGCTAGGGGCTCCGGAGGAGTGATCTGGGAGGGGACCAAGCACTGCGAATCTTTTGATCTGTGTCTGTTGAACGACACAGCGCTACGGCGCTGCATTACTGCCGTGACTGTCAAGACTGCTTCCAACTACTGGCGGGGGCCATGGCTGCTCCGATGTGGGGCCCAGTATGGGTCCTTGCCGGATTTAGCCCAGTCGGGCCTTCCTGCTGGCGATGTCTTCAAGGCTACCACTGTTCAGGTTTACAACATTTGCGCTGTCGACAGACTTGTGGAGTCGAATCCTGGTATCGCCCTGTCTTCTTACGTTGACGACGATAGCGTCGCCGCGCCGGGGACTGAACAACAGGTTCTGGCCACCATCATTCAGGCTGCTTCAAGTTTGCACGTCCTGTTCAGGGACGAGCTGCACGTCGGCATTCAGCCCGACAAGGTCAGCACCTTCGCGAGCAGCCCACCCTCGCCAAGAATATGATTCGTCTTCTCGGCAAGCTCGCGGGGCAGGTGGCCAACAGCGCGGTCTCCCACCGGCGCAGACTTAGCGCCCGGTCAGTCGCGCCGTGCCATGCGGGGGTTGTGGAAACGAAAACAGCTTCTCAGTCAGATGAAAAAGTGTCACAACGTTTTGATCCGTTTCCGCTCCAGGCTCCCTCGGAAGAAATCCAGGATGGGGGAAATCTGCGTTGCTGGAGTTTGCCAGCGGCCAGTTTTGGCCCGGCGGTGGTTGGGATGAGTAATCAGAGCAATCACGAGCCCCAGGAGGCCCGCGGGGCTTCACTGTCCCATCGACCGCCTCGGCATAGAGGCTGCTCGCTCCAAGCTCGCCCTGCGATCCTCGGAGGCCCAGTGTGGTGGCCTTCTGTCGCGCCGGCCTTGCACTGGGCCTCGGTTGCGTGGTTGGCGCTTACCTCCACCTCGGTTTCTCCGTATCACAGTGAGGAAATTACCCACGTGCGGCGTGCTGCGAGGCATGATGAAACGCTCACTGGGCGCCCCCCTCGCGGGCCGCTGCAGCGCGCGCGCATCTTTCGCTCGAGAGGGCGGGGTGGCAGTCTGCGACCCGTGTCACCTTTCAGGAAACTTATGCCCGCGAGGTGCATTTTGGCTACACCTCGCCGTCTTTGATTGCGCTGATGCTGCAACTGGCTGTCCAGAGACAGCTCGAATGGGCCTTGTGCCAGGATGACCCCCGGGGCCAATGGCGTTCGTTTTTGCGTCGACCCCTTAACATGGCTTGTGCCCTAGAGGGCGCAAGCTCACAGGTCGCTTAGTGTTTTCTGCAAGGGAGTTGGGGCACGTTCTCGTGCACGGGCTGCTGGATACGAGTGCGACGGCAAGCGCCCGTTGCGCGGTCTCCCCGATCGCGTTCTTCATCGGGTCTGGCAGCGCTTGCATCCCGAGGCTGTGGCAGCGAGGAAGAGCGTACTGTTGGTAACGATCGGTTGTTCTTTGACGATATAAAATGGGAGCACTCTGAGGACTCGTGCCCCCCATTGGCCTCCGCCCCCAACCCCATCCTCTATACGCCTGAAGGGGGCATTGTGGATTGGGGCTCCATCGATGTTTCGGGATGTGATGTGGTCATGGACGGTTCGGCCTTTCGC